GTGATATACCATGTGCTAAAGCTGTTATTCCTTCATGGTTTATTCCATTCTGAAACATCGCTACCTCTTCTAAAGTTTGTAAAGTCTGAAAACAAAATATTTGAATATTTATTGTTAACAAATCTGCGAATGCACTTGCTCATATCAAAGCAAGAAAAATGAAAATATAAATGCCAGACCACTTGTACTGATAAATCCCCAAAATATTGTCAGGATCCATATTGAGCTGTGAATAAAAATAATTTATAAATTTATTACACTCAAAACGAAATGAGTCTGGTAGGCAAAATGTATGTTCTTACCTTGAAGGCTTCTGTGAGTGCTATGGCACATGGGTTAGTAAAGTGATATGTGCCTACCTTGAAGGCTTCTGTGAGCGCTATTGCACATGGGTTAGGGCTAGTGAAGTGATATGTGCCTACCTTGTGGGCTTCTGCGAGTGCTACGGTGCATGGGTTAGGGTTAGTGCTTGCTGTGCAGCTAGCTTTGGGCGATCTGACGTCATTGCAGCTCAAGTGTGTGAAATTAACCTAATTGTTTGACACTCAGCTAATCTAGTTGTTGACGGCCAGTTTAGAGGTGTGGCCTCCTCTCCGATGACGACGCACTGAGCAACAACATCAGATATTGAACTTCTTGAACTTTTACTGTTTTGTACAATAGCCGACCGCCGCAAAAAACTAAAAGTATATTCCAACATTGAATCGATAATTAATAGTTAATGCTCCAAACTAAATCATTTTACCATTGACATCGATGGCTTTGCTAGGCCTAGCTTGGCTTGGCCTAGGCCTAGCTTGCCCATGGCTTGCCTAGGCCTAGCCTGGCTACGAATCAAGGCACTCGAGAGAGAGATTAGTACTGAGGATAAATCAAATTTTGCCTTGGGTGCCCTTTTATATTTGAAATTTTGGCCTTGGTGCCTTTCAAAATCATGTCATACCGGAGGCCATTTGGCCTTGCCCATAAAATCCCCAAATTCCAGGCCTGCTATGGCACATGGGTTAGGGTTAGTGAAGCGACATGTGCCTACCTTGTGGGCTTCTGCGAGTGCTACGGTGCATGGGTTAGGGTTAGTGAAGTGACATGTGCCTACCTTGAAGGCTTCTGCGAGCGCTATTGCGCATGGGTTAGGATTAGTGAAGTTATATGTGCCTACCTTGAAGGCTTCTGCGAGCGCTATTGCGCATGGGTTCTCCAATCGGTTCCTACCACAAATGAACACTTTAAGTTGTAATGTTTTGCCTGATGCTGTACTCAGCTTATGACATTCAATCAATGCTTCTGCCAAAATCTACACACAAAATATTTATTAAACAGAATGAAGATATATTCCAAATGCTACATATTTTGTTCAATTCACATAAACAATAAAAACAATAAACTTAGTGATAACTAATGATAACAATAGTTTTTTCTTTTGCTTAAAAATTATTATTTTTTTTGTGTATAACTGCTATGATTAGTTGTTATAACATAAACAATAATTATTATCAATGCACCATCTTGGATGGATTTATTCAGTGTAAACACATAGAGAGACCCACTGATATCTACTATAATAGCTGGATTGCCCATTGGCCAATGGCTGGTTTTAGTGAAGCTACTGACGCCATGTTGGAGCCTAAGTGACGTACCAGTTTAGACAAGCTCCTTTTGGCATTTGTTTAAAGTATTGTTAAAAATAATGATTTTTGCAATACTTTTTAATATTAATTTAAAATTAACGTAATGATTACCTTTCAAATCATCTAACTACTCGACGTGACTATTATAGTAGAGATCAGTGGAGAGACATAGTTTATAAATTATTATTCCATCATGTAATTGGCAAGTAACTTCTGTTTTATATGAAGGAAATAAACAAAGATAAAATCAATACAGATCCCTATAGCATCACATACCTTTCCACCAATACCAAGACCATTGTTGTTTAGTCTAAGTTCTTGTAAGGAATAACATGCAGTACTTGTAAGTAACTCCTTAAATGCTTTAACACCATCTGGTCCAAATGCATTGTCACTTAGATCAAGTTCAACCAACTGCGCTCCTGATCTTATAATTGCACCTCCTAAACTCCTCTGAAATATGAATAGACAAATATCAAATGCATCAGTTTTACTAGGCATACTGTTTTTGGACTTGACATATGACCAGGCTTAACTTTCTGCAAAATTTGGAGAGAAAAAGCAGTACTTAAATTTATTTACAGATTTCTAGGTGCGAGTCTTTGCAACAAAAATACGTATATTTACAGTCCTAGTTTGGCTATATTTGTAAATGAATCATTATTATTGTGCAGTGGTCTTACCAAAGCTGGGGGTATTTCTGAGCGCAGCCTTCCCGTAAACATATCACTCCATCTAGCTCTCTGTAAGAATGAATGTATTTAATTAGTTCCTTACACCAGCACCATAATAAAATAAGAATAGTTAGTTGCTATTTTAACATTTTATAATTACGTAATTTTTATTTATTTATTCAGGTATAAAAGAAAATATAAAAATGGCAGCCAAAGGCTGAAATGAATGTATTTACAAAAATAGAATATATTAAAAATGCAAGAATATTAAAAATATTATATATAAAATTACAACAAGAATGGACAAAACATTAAAATACATAAGAAAAATCACATTAAAAAAATTACTAGACTCAATAATAACACCGAAAGGTTCCATTAATGACTTCAAAATACAATCTATATAGAAAATTTAAATATATAAAAATATGATTTTTTTTCAAATTAATAAATTGTTTCAAATATTACAAAATCAAAAAATTATAAAGTAAAAACACAACAAATATTGCACATAAAAACCACATATAGAAAAAAAGCCACCCATAGAAAAAACTGCATTCAACTAAAAATTAGATGAGGCCAAGCAACTTATCCACCACAATTTTGTTTAATCCTGTCTCTGTGAAGGGTGTTTTGTTTTCTTTCTGTTGTATACAGTGAACATGTAACAGTTCACTCCAAGCCATCTGGAAGGTTATAAATAAACAACAAAAAAGCCAGTGGTCCTAAGACCGTCCCCTTTGGGATACTTAAATTCTATATTTTATAATCTGCCTTTTATTGTAAATTTTAACCTTTAGATATATTTATATATTTATTAATTATTGTTTGTTAAGTGTCCCCCTTGGCGGTGGAGAAAAATTGTACAGCAATTAAGTTTGTTTTAATTTAATCCTGTCACTGTCAAGTGTGTTTTGTTTTTGTTGTATAATGTTTTTAAAATTGACCAATTTTCCTTTGTAGGACACAGGTAGGACATGGCATTTCATCTGCATTTACTTTGCCATTTGTGTCAAGATCATCTTGCAGTCTCACAATATTCTCAGGGCCAGCTACTGTTAAATACACCATAATAGTCATCAGTGAACATGTAACAGTTCACTCCAGGCCATCTGGAATGTTATAAATAAACAACATAAAAGCCAGTGGTCCTAAGACTGTCCCCTTCGGGATATTTAAATGAACATGAAAAATCCCTTGCAATTCACCATGTTAGGTTAGAAACCCACATTCCTGCATACTGTACCTGAAACTCTGGTCGTTTTTCCAAAGCTTTACCAATGGCTTCTGCAGCATCTACTCCTAATGTGTTACCTTCTAACCTTAATGACTGCAAGTCTTTAGCTTCTAAAATAGCTTTCACAATTGGCTCAGCTGAAAAAAAAAAGAATAATATTAATCAATCTTCACATACCATAACTCAATACTCTATAAACATGGTTACCTTAAAAGGAGAAAAGCATTTGTAGATCCAACTTCTTTACTTGTACAACTGGTGGTGATTTTACCTGCGGTAATTCATTATAAACCCAGAATTTTAACACATACCATACAGTAACAGTATATCACTTATATTGTCATTCACATAAATTATTATAAAGAAAACGTAAACGTATAAAAACTTGACAAGTAAAATTATTGACTTACAAACAAAGCATAGACTACAACAAAAGTAACACTTTAAATTATGTGGTGAGCCAAACTGCCGATCAGTTACCAGGGGCGCCTCACCTGCATGCTCGCCTATGGTTCTGATAGTAGAACAAGTCTTTTTGGATAAGGACTATAAACTGTAGGCCCAGTGTACACAATAGCTCGTGTGCACTATAATGAACCCAGTACATCATTCGAGACGAGTATGGGGATACTCCTGTGTACTGGTGTAGACGGCCCTTGTGGTGGACAATGAGAGTTACTGGTACCGGGTTACTGGGTAGCACAGACATGAAGGGACCCTCAGGGGTGAAGAAAGTCATTGATCGAGTTACTAATCCATAAACCTAAGTACCTTGTATCCTTTGGCAAAAAAGCACTATATAATTTTCTGTCATTATAATTATTACATAATGTAGAAGATAAAAATTTAATCTGGAAAAACTGGAACACACTCCATGAAAGAAAAAAAATGAGCTGCAAATGAAGCGCCCCAACAGTGTATACATTGACTTTAAGAATCGTATACCAAGAAATATTACTTGGTGACCCTAAACCCTCATACAACTTTGCAGTTTTATACAATTTTTTATTGCCGTTTTATTAGAAAAATGTTGCTAATGCTGTTTATAGTTGTTTTTTTATTTGAGGTTCTTTAAAGTGCACATGATGCATTACTGTACCAAATTGTGTGCACTGGGCGAAGTCCTTATCATAAGTGAGCCTGTTTTTTACTTGTGCCAATATTATGGTTGTATGTCTGTAGCGCTCCTGCCTTAAATACTCAACCATCCAAACGCTGCCAATATTATTCCAGGTTAGGCCCAATATATAGCATAGGCCTACAATAAAAACAACAAGACCTAGGCCCACGGCCTAATTGTAATCTCTATTTGGGCCTATGCTAGCTAGGCTAGTAATGTATTTGTCAACTTATCATATCACCATCCTCCTCCTTACATTACAGGACCTAGGCAGGCCCTAGCTAGGGAGGGGCCTAGGCCTACATTATTATAATTATTATTATAATGATTATATTACATTTATAAATTAATGCATAGAGGCTAGG